CCTCCTACACACGGTCATAATAAGCCCATGAGCGCTGTTATAACGCCTCATGTGGACGGCACTGCTCCCACCTCCACTCATCCCCTGAGCGTTTACGCACCTCATGATGAGAGCCGGAGTGAAACGCAGCGTGTGGAGGCTCCCTCGCAGCCCTTTCGCTCCAGGCCCACCTTGGGTTGCCTCACGGGCAGCGGCGGCGAGGGCTCTGGCGTGGCTCGTCACCATGACGACCACAGCACATCTCGAGCATGTGCGCCCGCTCTGAGTGTTTTATCCAAGGAGATGGCAGTTCAGCTGTTTTACGCCCTAGCCCGGCTTTTATGCCAAAGGTCATCACAAGCTCTTTTAGGTCAAGAGTGATCACCTTGGATGGCTTCTTTCCTCCCCCTCACAGGTCGGAGGAGGAAGCCACGTCTCATCTCCTCTGTCCCGTGCGCGCGCTGTCCTGCTATGTTGCGCCGTTCCCAGCGCCTGGTTGTGTGTAACCCCCGGTTACTAAGACACTGAGAAATAACATTGACTAAAATGTCAACTTTATTTTAAGGCTTAGCACTACATACACAAACAATATAAATTATTTGAAACTAAAATAGAAACAATATAGATACACAATATGCAATTTAGGACAACATGATTTAGACAATTCTTCATGAAAACATTTAAATGAGTGTGATTAGATAAATCCCCTGTCCATCTAAAGTGGTTTTAAAGCAAGGCTAAGCCAATCAAAGTTTAGACCCGCCCCGTTTCTGCCCGTCTACCAGGAAGTGAGATGCGCTGTTTATCCTTTTGGGACGATGACTCAGTAGCATTAGCACTATAAGATTTTGATTGTAGTTATTTGGACAACTTTTCACGTAGATTGACCGACTTTGCTACTTTTCCCCAAGAGCATTGCCTCTTATATGATACCCTTGGTGAGTTGCATGAGAAAATACGGATGTTAAATATGTATTTTAATGAAATTATCGATGCTAAATTAGCCGCGGCTAACCGTTGCTAACGAGTTAGCCTAGCGTGTATCCGTGTTGCTTTAATGTGTGCGGAGCGGAGGGACGTGAAGTCACTGCACCACTCTATTGTCTGTGGTTTTGGCGGTGGTCTTCACGTTGCTTTGCCGCCTGTTGTGGCACATTGAAGGGGCATTGACCACAGTTTAGTCTGTTATTTGTTGTGGAATATGAGCAAAGTGGAGCTAACTGTGGCTGGTTATAGGTTGGCCGAAAATGAGTTTAGTACACTTTGTTAAAATAATAACATGTGTGACAGATGTGTTAAATAAGCTGACTGATAATTGTTGTATTTAGAATTGTTTGTTTAATAGGATTTTAGGAACATGTGGAGTGTATTTTGTTGATTTGATTAATATACAGAGAAGTGCTGTTTCAATTTGCATTTAAACCATTGTATTCATTCATTTATTTATTCATTTGACTCTTGGCCTTGTTGTCAGGTCGGGTCTTTTTTTTGTGTGATGTGAAGGAGATTTTCGGGATTCTTTGACTGGAACGCTGCCCTCATCTCTGCTGGTGTACTGTGGCAAATTTCAGTCTGGCGAGCTACCCATCGACCTATCTAAAGGAAGAGAACTATTACAGTTACCCACAACGGTGGTAGGACAAGAACTTGTGCATCTTTTCCTCTTCACAAGTTGAGAGCCAAGAACTGATTGATTATTGATTGTGTGATACTATGTTGAATATGTTATAACTATATGTGTATAGAAGTAATGTGATAACTAAGTTTAATTTCATTTTATTTAAGAATCTGAAATAACATTTCAAATACAGAGTCCTGGTTCCCAAAATTAGAATATATAGCTTAGCTACTAAATTTAAATAAAACCATTAGTTTATATTAAATAGGGATAATTAAAACAGAAGTAATAACACCAAATGATGATATGATACCAAAATAGTTATAAAAATAAATAGGTACAAATAATTAAAACCAGGATACTCTCAAATTCAAGGTAACTGAATATATATGTATATCAAATATTTATCTGAAAGAAAGGGAATAAATAGTATAGCTTTCTGTACCTTTTCCAAACAACGTCTGCTTTGTGTCTTTTCACCTTTGTTGCACAGTATCCATTTTCTCCTGAGCAACCTAGACTTCTGATGTGCTGGTCCACACACTGAAATGTCTACATTTATATTAGAGAGGTTTGATCGAAACTGATTCGTATAAATAATTCTGTGCTCAGCATTCACTTTTGGTGCAGGTGTTACATGTGCATTACAGAGAGCGCTCATTCGGCAGCCTCTGTCTGCACAACGGCTGTCACACTGGCTGTGTGTGGCTGTGTCGCAGGCGTATGTCTCCTCTGGGGTGGATCCCCCGGAGAACATCAGTGCGCACTCCACCAGAGGAATTTACTCCTCCATGGCTTTACACGGAGGAATGTCAGTGGAAGACATTTGCATTGCTGCATCTTGGTCTTCCCCCTGTTCATTTATTCAATTTTATTTGAGGGATGTCTCCCTTTCCTCTCTGACACACCCTGTGCTGAGTGTCCTGTCAGAGTGAGTGACGTCAGGGACCCAGCTGTGCGCCTCTCTCCTGCCTCTCGGCACACTAAGAGCGGCCCTTTTTCCCTCTTGTGAGAGGGATGTTTCCTTTTTTCCTCTGACACACTCTGTACGGAGTGTCTTGTCAGAGTGAGTGATGTCAGGGACCCAGCTGTGCGCTCTCCTGCCTGTCTGCACGCAGAGAGCTGCCCTTGTTTCCCCTCTTTTTGTCGCTGGGCAAAGTGTGACCTTCGTCTCTACTTTTTCACAGCGGCAGGGTTGTATTGTTCCCAGCCTTCGTCCCCTCATGGAAAATATTCATGTTATGCTATATTCCAGGGACTGTGATGCGCCATTAGGCATGGGCATGGGTTATTATCTGAGCAGGTGTGTCTGTGCTTCTAGTACCGGGCGGACCCAGTGGGGCGCAGACTACATCTTGCTTCGCCCTTAACCCAATAGCGATAGCCTTAGAGGGCGAAGCCATATACGAAATAGAACTGAAGTTACCTACTGTAACTCCAGCTTCTATGAGTATAGGCGTAGCCCTCTAAGTTCTGGGCCCCACTGGCTCCACGAATAGCTGAAGAAAAGTTGTTTGTGTGGGAGCAGATTGTCGGGCCTCCTTCCTATTTATACCGGAAGGGAGCCCGAGGGTGGGGCCCACCCGCGAGGTGGGCGTGGACTACAAGTGTTTCAGTGCTGCGCGGGTGCGCAGGGGATTACCCAATAGCAATAGCCTTAGAGGGCTACGCCTATACTCATAGAAGCTGGAGTTACAGTAGGTAACTTCAGTTTTGCTCTCTCAAAAGTTGGGCCATTTTGTCCTCATGCTCCAATGAGCAGCTCTCATAGGAAAGAACGAGACCCCGCCTCCGACGCTGTATCCAGTTCTTATTATACATCCATGGTCCTGACCTGGCTGTGTGTGAGCCCCACCCCTCACAGCGCGCCTGGCTGTGTGTGAGCCCCGCCCCCTCACAGCGTGCCTGGCTGGCAGGCACAGCGCGCCTGGCTAAAATTCTGGTCACATCCTTATGTAAACGAAAAGTTATCGAGTTCATTTTTATTTATCGTACGATAAGTCAATAAATTGCTTATCGCGTTACATCTGTGAATTGGATGTAGAAGTGTCAGAATCAATATAAATGTTTTTATTTTAAAGTAAATTCAGATTGAACATAGTAAAAAAAAAAATGTAAATTATAGTGTCCGTCCAAAAAAAATAATTACTTGATCTTCATCCACCCTTGAATGATGGGATAGTAGACTAAAAGCTTTAGGAATCCATACTATAACATATAAGTACCCTGTATCAAGATTGATGCAAAACAAGTGAAGTTTGACCTTTTTAGAGAGATTTAAAAAAAAAAAAAAAAAAACACTTCTGGGGTCATTTGGGTGCATTTTCCATATCTCTGGCCCCCCTCGTTCAATTTTGATGATTGACATCTCTTTTTAACCGTTAGAGCCAATAGAATCGAGGGGAAGTTCCTCACATCCATCTAAACATTACCCATTGGTGAATGAGTGCTGCACAGCCAGAATGCCCCGGAACCGGAAGCTGCGATACACTCCATATATTAGCTACCATTAGCAGCTAATATAAAATCTCCGATTTTTACATAAAAATTGAATTATGGATTATCAATAATTTTTTCTAAGTGACAGACACATTGGATTAACCTATGGATTAACCTTCAGCCGCGTTTTTATAGTTTTAATGCCATTGAACACGACTTTTGATCAGAATAACAGCTAAGGTGAAACGATGTCCAGTGAATGCTCCGTAAAGCTACGTCTTCTTCCCCCGTCGCGAGTTCTGATCGCTCAGTGATGATACTAATACCTATATAATCTGTGGAATTTTAGCTTTAATCTGATGTCTTTTATGTGTAGTTATGATAAGTAATAAGGGTACTTTTACCTTGAGTTCTGTGCTAAGTGCGTTAGCATTTTTTCGCTCAGAGGTCATTTGGACGCTTCTTATGAGACTTGTGTTTTGTTTTCGTAAAAATGGTTCATATTGTCAGTTAGCTGAGTTTCTTCCCGTTAATCTGGTATGACACATTAATAGGTTTTTAAATATTAAGCCCTGAGACACAGTTTTGTGAAAAGAAAACCCGCAGCCCCCTCTACCGGGGGCTCTCGGGCTTAACAGGTTAAAGTATGTTTTTCCGACCCTTTAGACTTTGAAGCCACATTGAAGTATGACATCTTGCTCTCTTTATAATCTAACTGCTGTTGCTGCTGATCCCCTGGGTCAGTTCTTACCCTGAGCTAGGTCTCTCAGTAAGGAACAGCCAAGGGGAGAAAACTGTCCTAGCTCCTGTAACAGTGTAAATGTTTATTTGTCTTAGGAAGATCCACCTTGTGTGAAGTAGCACATTCAAATGGGATAATGGGCTGCATTGAATAATATCAATCAGTAATATAGAGTGTGAATCTACTGTATAAAAGTAAGGTATTGTGACAGTGATGACCTACCTGTCCAAGGTCCCGACCCTGGCCACCAGATAGAGGACACTCCCGATCGCGAGGCTGCCCAGGATGAAGAGCTTCTGTCTCAGCAGCGCCTGTTGTTTGAATAGCATGGCCCTCCATCAATCTTCAGGACTGCATCTCCAGCCTGCAGAGAGCCCAGTACATAAACCACTGATCACCAGGGAGACAGCCTAATGTTTATTAACACACACTAAATCAAGTACTACAAGTGATTAGGCCACGCTCACATGGCTGGAAAGTGCTGCAGTGCCATTAGAGGAAATGCTCCGGCACTTTGTTACATTTATTTATTTATTCCTGCCAACTGGAGACTCACAATGGATCTAATGTGCAAGATACGAATGTGCAGTATGAAGTTTGGCTGTAAATAAATAATACAAAAAAAGTTTAATAATAAAAAATATATAAATAACAATAATAAATAATATTAATAAATAACAAATAACAGTAACAATAATTATAATAATAATAATAAAATGTGTTCACCCCCGTCTGTCATCTCCAAACCCTTGGAGCATTCTTTATATTTCCTGTGATTTTAATTCAATGAGAGACTTCAGTGACTGACACTGATAGGGCTTTAAGAATACAAAGTGATGGAATGATCACATTATATTGATGTTTATGGCACTTTTGACCATCAAGAAATAAAATAATAATCTGTTTATCCAAGAGAGGGCACTGCACCCTCTCATAAATGGAGCACAGAAATGTTTGCCTCAGGTGATGTTTTGCTGAGGGATTCGTGGAATGCCAACTGGCCTTTTGGGTATAATTAAAACACTGAAAGCGTTACGTTACAGGCCTGATAACAACTATAATTGGTTTCCAAATACTGTACCATGGAATATATGAGCTTGATAAAAAGGGGCTATTTGCAGACACACTGCACAAAGACTTGACTAGACTTGTTGTGCTGTGCTAATAATGTGCACTCCTCAGTTTTCTCATTTTCAGAGGAGTACATGAGGGCACTGGTATAAATAAAGAACTGCAGATGAGCTCTCATTCGGGTCTAATAATGCATTGTGTTACTAAAAACACTGTGGTTGCAACAGCAAGGGGAGCAGCAGTCCCTATTGAATACATGTGTTTAGACACATAGTGTACATGCTCTGTCTGTAGAGAGCTCACTGACCCAGAGCTTGTGAAGTGTCTAATTTTCTATAACCCACAACAATTTGCACAACAGCTTCTTTGTATATATAATCCAATGCCGATATTCGTCTGTAATATAGTTCTATACATTTCTGTAGCTTAGTGAGTCCGTATATTGTAGAGCAGGGTTCAGCAACCTTTTTGATATGAAGTACTTAAAAAAACAAAATGTAATCAGTGTGCCAAATCCACATTAAGATTATCATGACATCACATCAACATTTCCAACGGGTCTGTAATTTTATTACATCAAAGTGCATAGCAACATTTCAAAGGAAGCAGCCATCCTTATGAAAACATTCACATCTGAGGTCTCAGGCTCGAAAAATGACATTCCCAGAACAAATGACCATATCTTCCCTTCTAAAAGGGTTAAATTAATAATCTTTTTTCTCAAAGTAATGATAAACCTGTGAGTTGGATGTAGAAAAGTCAGAATCAATATAGATGTTTTTTATTTTAAAGAAAATTCAGATTTTACATAGTAAAAAACTGTAAATTATAGTGTCTGTCCAAAAATTCTTTTTTACTTATAGTGAAAACTACCCTTGGATGATGGTAAGGTAGACTTAAGGCCCAGACACACCAGGCCGAAATCGTCCGTCATCATTAGTCGGACGACGAAGCGTGCCCTGTCGCCCCAACTCAATTTGGTGTGTCCCGAACCGTCGGCCGTGACACGCCTTATTTGGCCTTTCACGGTCGACGCATGGCCGATTCAACATGTTGAATCGGCCATGCGTCGGACACAGGCAGTCGGACTAAGAAACCACTCTGATTGGCTGTTCAGCTAGCGAATGAGAAGCGAAACGGAAGTGAGGGACGTAAACAAACGATTTAAGAAGGCACAGGACAGCAGCTAAACCCCAGAAGGTGATACTTAAAGACATCAAACATAGCCCTTAAATGTCCTCTCTTACCTCCCACACATAGCAGGGACATCTCTGATATCGGCGGGAGCGTCCCCGGCTGTCCTCTGCTGAGAGCTCCGTGATTTGTTTGGTCATGTCCGGTTTTTCATCTCATCGGTTTATTTGTCAGTATAAAGTTGCAGGATTAGTCTCAAGTACCTCAACATTGTCCTTAAGTACAGTGTCTAAGTAAATGAGATACTGTCTACTGCTGTTCATTTACCTATTGTGAGTCGCCTCGGATAAAAGCATCACATGGAAATGTAAATTTAGCAAGAAGTGGCCATTATTACATTACATACATTACTACATTGCTGACTCAATAAACTACACACCCGCCAGAACACTGCGATCATCAGATGCAGGTCTATTAACTGTGATTTTATAGTATGTCTGCACTTTCTGTGCTCATTTCATCATTCATGTATTTTATATTCTACTAAAACTGAATCTAACCATAAACAAGGTGGCCTGTTGGGATATATATATATATATATATATATATAATATATCTGCATTATTTTATCCCACTTTATGCTTTGCTCTTGCTGCTTGTTTTACACTGATTTTATGTCTTATTTCTTACTGATGTAAAGCACTTTGAACTGCAATCCCCTGTATGAAAGGTGTTATACAAATAAAGTTATTATTATTATTATTATTCAGATGGATGTTTCTGCCCCTCTGTTCATTCTCCCTTTATCCTCCTCAATCTGCCTAGAAGTATTGTAATGTTGTAGCTGTTACTATAACCAATACTAATGCTAGGGCTGCAACTGACAGTTATGTAGGCACATTGTTATTGTTTCTTATCGCTGTGTGATTACAAGAATAAACACAAATAGCAGGATAGGCAATGCAAAACTTTATTTCGTACCTTCATACACACATAACACAACATTAGAATGAGCTTTTATCAACGCCTACATGATAATAACCTGTCAACATGACAGGAAAATCCACATGACATTAATACAGAGCGGGCAGAACCCAAATCTGCATTCAAAGAATACACTTTACCAAAGCTTGAGGAAAATATCTGAAATCTGGCATTTCATTTAACTCCAGCTCTCGACACAGGTTCGGGAAAGCCCCATGAGCTTCTCGCTGTAGTATCCATGATTTCACCCATTTAGTGCGGTTTCTCCTAATTCTTCGCTTCCGCCTCTTGAGCATAGACTGTATATATAAGCTCTTGAGAGACTGTTGCTTGAGAATGTCTTCCACAAGCAACACTCCAATGGCTGATGGCTCCAGTACCGCACGAAACATGTTTTCGATGGACGAGAGTGAAAATGGAACGCACACGCTATTTTTTGTTTGTTTATATCACACGGTCTGTTCTTCTTCTCTGTCTTCCGGTTGTTGCCTATTTTGAATGACGAATACACACTACCACCGCCTGCTGGTAAGGCTGAAGTCTTTGCGGTGTGCGACACATGGCCAAGACGCAGGAGAACACGGCGACGCAACAGTCGGCGTCGGCGAGTTCTCTGGTGACTGCCTGGTGTGTCTGGGCCTTAAAAGCTTTAGGAATCCAAAGTACAACATATAATAAGTACCCTGTATCAAGATTGATGCAAAAACAAGTGACATTTGACCTTTTTAGAGAGGTTTAGCCAAAAACACTCCACCTCTGAGGTGATTTGGGTGGAAATTGTTTTTTTTTTCATATCTCTGGAACCCATTGGTCGATTTTGATGGTTGACACCTCTTTCTGACCGTTAGAGCCAATAGAATCGAAGGGGGAGTCCCCCACACACACTCATTGTGAAAAAAAAGGTGAGGGCTTCGCGCATGCAGTTTAGCATCAGAGCGAACCTATACTCTAGCTCTGACATCTGGAAACGGAAAAGCCATTTTATTGCTTATGGATTATCAGAAATCATTTCAAAGGGACACAGACACATTGGATTAACCTATGGATTAACTTCAGCAGCGTTTTTATCGTTTTAATGCCATTGAAGACCACTTTGGAGAGACTACAGAGCCAAGGTAAAAATGTTAGCATTTTTAGCTACCTAGCGTCACCTGTTTTGATGTCTGTTTTTGCTTATAACGTCGCGAATTCGTATAATTCAGTGATAATGAGGGTACCCTTCGATTCTGTGTCACCTCACAATGTGAAACGATGTCATGGATGTGGAGAAGAGATAAATAATAAGGTTTTGTGAGTGATTTTCGGTACAGTAATCTGTTAGCATTTTTTGCTCATTGCTAATTCAGAGGCTCAGTGTTAGCATTGTGGGTTTTCTTTTTAAAAAAAAAAAAAAAAAAAGATCAGTTAGATGAGTTTCTTCCCGTTACATGGATATAAAACATTCATAGTTTATTAAATGAACATGCCCTCAGACACTGTTTCCTGCAAGATGTGCCAGTGCCCCGGTACCGGGGTCTCTCGGGCTTAACAGGTTAACAGCAAATGTCAAAATGGGTGAATTAAATGTAACAAACAGAAACATGAGCACCAAGTATTAGGGATCGACCGATATGGCTTTTTCAAGGCCGATACCGATTATTAATAATCAAGGAGACCGATAACCGATATTTGGAACGGATATACATTTGCAGTAAAATCAGAAAAGCTTGGTGTCAAAATGTAGAATAACACAACTTCTTTGAAATGCCTTTTTATGTTTAATGAACTTTTCAACATCTTAAAACTGGTTTCCTCTCTGTGACCCTGAGTAAAGTAAATGAAGTAAAAATAAAATAAAAACTACTAAAACTTGTTCTGAACTTCTGATATTTGAGTCTCACTCATTTAGTAGTCCCAATTCAGCAGCACCAGATTGTGGTGCAGAGTTGCTGCGAGGCTCCACTAGCAGCCGTCACAGTCCCAGTCCCAGTCGTCCCAGCGCGTCACAGTTTCTCCGCTGCGAGACGCTACCCGCCCCCGGTCCCTTTGTAACTGGGAAACTGATAGAATTGGATCATAAGATTGTGGTGTTTTTGCAACTTCAGCATAAGGGGATTGGGATGTTTATTGAACTTCGGCTTTCAACTGATTTACCTTCGAA